TTTTTTTATTTTATCTGTTGATTAGGGCCGGAGGAAAGCATTGTTGGGTAGGTTACCTCCCTCCGTTTTCCCTCCCACCCACCCCTTGCATGCATCCCGTTTCGGTACAGTGCCACGTCAGCAGTGCCATGTCACAGTGCCAAGTCACAGTGCCACGTCACAGTGCCAAGTCACAGTACCACGTCAGCAGTGCCACGTCACAGTGCCAGATCAGCAGTGCCACGTCCGCAGTGCCAGATCAGCAGTGCCACGTCCGCAGTGCCAGGTCACATTGCCTTGTCAGACATAGTGCCACGTAAGCAGTGCCACGTCACCAGTGACGTTCAACACAGTGCCACGTCAACAGTGCCACGTCAGCAGTACTACGTCAGACGTAGTGCCACATCAGCAGTGCCACGTAAGCAGCATTGCCACGTCAGCAACATGACGGGCCTGCCAGGCCAACTGGCCAATGAGACCACTGCCGCCTACAAGCAGCGTTGCCTGGCTCAGATAGAGGCTGAGGAACAACGCCTACTGGCAGTCGAGGCTGCCCGCATACAAGCTGAAGAGGCAGCAGCAGCAGAGAAACTGMGGCTACAGGCCGATGCAGAAGCAGATGCCCAGGCTCGCCGAAAGGAAGCCCAGGATCTGCTGCAGCGGCATGAAGCCAACAGCATCGACAGACTCAAGCACTGGCATTTTCAACCGAACGGCGACGATGCAACACCGGAAGAAAAGCACAAGGAGTTCCTCTCCAAACTCGTGACGCGGTTGTTGTATGCTTGCAACTACCAAAGGTCAGAGTTGGAGAGACAGCACCGGGACCTGACGCAATAGCATCAGGAATTGGCGACGCTCCGCCGCACAGTGCAGAGCCATGAGGATGCAACTCGGGCACTCAATGCCCGATTGTTGGACCGGGAACAGGCAGTACCAAGACCAGCTGCTGGAGCTTCCAGCAGTGCACCCTCAAGCCGCCAACTGGAGGACCGCGTTGACCACGTAGTGGCAATGCTTGGCGTCATCAGCACCTTCGCTGCGCCGACCACCACCATCAACACTCAGCTGCATACATTGAAGACCGAGGTCCAGAAGCTGCAGTCGACGAACGCGGACGACAATCCATAGATGTACAAGACGCCAACTTTCAACCTGGAGAGGTTCGACGACTACACGCAGCAGGATCCCGTCCTCTGGTGGGAAGCATTCACAACGCAACTCAGGATTCTGCCAGTAGCCAAGCATGCGTACATCGGCGCCCTGTTCCTGAACTCAAAGGGCGGATGCCAGACCTGGTTGAGCCACCTAGCAACCTCCCACGACGTCGACGTACCAGACTTGAAGGACGTAATCACATGGGAGGAACTGACATCGCTGTGGAAGAAGCGGTTCATCGTCGACGACGCGCCGACACTCGCCATCAACCGTTTGTTCACCATGTCACAGGGCAACACAGCAATACGGGACTGGCTCACGGAGTGGCAGAAGATTGCGGCTGTGCCCAATCTGAACCTACCATTCGAGCATCTACGCCGTGAGTTCTACAACAGGTCCTGTGCGGCATTGAGCCAGGCTCTTGGTGATCACGAGCAGTACTCAACCTTCGCGGAGATCATTGACAAAGCGAGGGAGATTATCAAGACCAACAGGTCAGCTGCACACGAGAAATCAACATCATCGCAGCCGACCTATGTGGAGAAGGTACGAACTGGTCCGCGACAGCAGCACTTCGCTGCAGTCCAGCAGGACAGTGGAGATAACCCAGCAGCCACTCCAGTATCAAGTGACGGAGATCAGGTGGTCGCTGTCCAGCCGCAAAGCACCAACAAGTCCCGTAACAATGGGAAGGCGAAACCCGCATCGCAGGCCGGAAATGGACAGCCAGGACAGTTTCCATGGGTCAAGTTTGGCTTGACCGAGGCGGAGTACAAGGTCCGCGGCCACTACGGCAGCTGCTATTGGTGCAACAGCACAAAGCACAAGACCTCCCTGTGCCAAGATCAGGGCAAGGAGGATGTGCGACCCCGCCTCAGCTCGGGAAACTGAGCTCCGCGGAAGGTGAGGCGACTYCACCTTCTACTCCGCCAGATTCGGCCGCCTTGCTAGCGGCCTCCTGCACATCTGGGGAGGATGCGAATGTCGCAAGTCCTCGGTATACTTACGAGGATTATGCTGTCCACTTGGTTCCACCGCTGGACCAACCGCTCCACGTGCAACAGTCCACTGCATGCACGGT